TTCGGCCCACAGCCGGATGCCACCGCCCGCCCAAAACGTACCGACAACATCTCTCCATCGAGAAATGCGGGTGAAGAGAGAAACGAATGCACCACGCTTTTAACACGCGCGGACGGACGGAAAGCCTCCACCTGTGCACGGGGGCGCAAAACGAACACCACCCCTTTCCCCCCTGGGTCCACATCCGCCGGTTGCCGCGGGCATCACCAACAGCACTCGACGCAGGCGAAACCCAGCAGACAGAGGACAGTAGCCTTCGAAGCCCACAACCTAAATGCAGCGGAACCACAACGCAACGCGATCTGTCACGGTGTGCAGCATACCGAGACCACAGGATGGGGGACACGACGGGCACAAGTGTGCATTCCAAAAAGTCGGGCGGATGACGGGCCCAGCCTCGCGACGTCGTCGCAGGGTGCGTCAAGCATCCCACAAGTCTCCGCCCTCGCATACGGTAAGCACCGCGTGCATGGCCGAGGCCCCCTGCGCCACCGCTCAATGGTGCCGCTCGGATGGCGAAGAGTGCAGATCGTCCTCAGCAAGTCGTGACACACCCTCAGCACAAACGAAACACGAAGACGACACCTCAACAGAGCCGCAACAGCTCTCCTCGTAACCTACGAGATGATGGTGCCGAAGCTGAGAGCTGGTGACGGGCACCTCCGCCTCCACACCCTGCAAACGACTGCCAACCGGACTGCCGTCGGCGATCAGGCGCCAATCATCGCAAGACGATGAGTGAGGGTGAACGCAACGATCCACAACCCGGCACCACRGCATAGGAAAGCCCCGACAGCCGCGACCGCCGCCAACGACGACCGAGCCGTCGTGAAAGAAGCCCTCTGAGAAAGACAGCCATGGGCCCGAAGGGCACCGCAAAAATGTTCACTCGACCACCAAAGCACGACTCGCCCATCCCTCGCAAACTGGAAACCACCCAAAGCGTGTGCAGAGAGTCCCTCGTAACTCGAGTACAAGGTCCCAAAAACCAATCCCGGAACGTCGCCTTCGTCGACTGCAAGGGGGCTGCTAAGCACGCAGTCCCCTATAAGAGTGCAAACGGGACTCCGAACCGCCAACCACCGACTGTTTGGCACATCCAGAGGGTGCTCTCTGAGCCATCCGCCGAGGGACCTGCACATGTCCCTTTCCAGCAAGCTGACTGAACAGACCCCAATGGCGATGTCCCCCTCGGGACCTCATCCCTT